TCCCACCACTTGGGAGGCAGAGGCAGGTGGATCTCTGAGAGTTCAATGCCAGCCTCGTCTACATACTGAGTTTCAGGCCAGCTGGGGCTACAGGGAGACCCTGTCTTAAAAAAACAAAAACAAAAACAAAATTTTAAAAAGACCAAAAAAAAAAATATTCATTTACCAAGAGTAGATAATATCCTTGACAAAATGTTATAAAAACTTGCTGACTTATTTCTACTGACAAAAATAGTCACATATTAAAAACAGTCAACTAGGTTATGGTTTAAGAAGCTGAAGCTATTGAACTCAAATATCCAGACTACTTGGACTATCACAGTACAGTCACATAATTCAGGATATGAGTGAAATAAGACTGAAATTCCATTTTCAATCTTTTTCCTAAATAGTTTTGTTTGAAATTCACAGAAGTACATGAAAACATGTCAGTTTAGGTGAGAAGGTCTCTCTGAAAATCTAGAAATAAACAGTATCACACAGCAGGTGGGACCGTCAGTAGAGCCGGAGCATTCTGATAAGATACTGCTGCTCTTATTGTATTTTCTGCTATAGCTATTATTGAATTCAAGATCATAGCCCTTTGGAGAAGCAGATTACTTTATTGGAACAATCAATTCTTATTCTTAAGAAAAGTAGGTAAAGTAACTTGAGGGTCAAAGTCACATAATAGCATCAATAACAATTTGACAATTTCCATCAAGGGTTTAATTTAATGGCTGCTTAATTCACTGGATTCTTCTAATCCACTGAGGATTCTGACAGTGGCTCAAACTTATTAGATTTATTTTTTTTCCTAAAAATGGTTTTCTGTGTCTAATGTTGAAGAGTCTATGATTTGACTTGGTGAAAATGTGTAAAAAAAAAAGATTCGTTATGTTTTTCTCCACTTCATGCATTAGAAACACTATTTGGAACATAACAGAAATTTCTGCTGCTGAAGCAGTCATGGCTCACTGATACCGAACAATTTTTGGGAAACAAGAATGTAAAGATGTGCTCTAGGGGTCGGAGAGCTGGCTCAGCAGTTATGAACACTAGTTGCTCTTGTAGAGGACCCAGTTTTGATTCTCAGCACCCACATGGTACCTAACAACTGTCTTTAACTCTGATTCCAGGGACTCCAACGCCTTTTTCTGGCCTCCAAGGGCATTGCATGACATGGGTGTGTTTACATACATGCAGGTAATACACTCACACATAAAATAAAAATAATAAAATATTTTAAAAGCTACATATTCTAATGTATATTGAAGTGTTCAGTAAAGCCAATTAAATGTGTTTCTGTTTTCTAAATATTTAGGTTTATACCCATAGATTAGCACTGATCTATGGTCACACACGGCACTAGGTGAAAGTTGATGCAGAGACTCATAACCAGTGGAAGTACTGAGAATAAGTGACTGTTGTGTGCTCAGCCCTAAGTGGGACATCCATATCACCCTCTCCAAGGCTCAGAGAATATGGAAAAAGAGAAGGCAGAAAGAGTGCAAGAGGCAGACGGTGGAAGGAGTGCTGTCACCAGCGGTCCCTGGAAATAACATGACTGACTCACAACAGCAGTGGCTACCAGCACAAGACCTGCACAAGGCTGGGCCCATCAACATTCATCATGGGTCGGGGAGGGCTCATAAGGACTCATCCCTCTCTGAAGACCTGTTGGCAGTCAGTGGCTGCTGGGGTGGGGTAGGCACATTCCTCAGTGGTGTGGCCACAGTTAAGGAGTACTCCCTCAAGTAAATACCCCACTCATGCTCATGCAGGCCATGCTAATTAAATGAAGAGGACCATAAATAATTGACATTAAGTAGGAGGGGGACTTGATGGGGAGAAGGAGTAATCTTTTAAAAGTGTTTGTATTACCATATACATTTATTAGGCATAATGGAAATAACCAAATGTGAATGGATCTTGTATTGACAGTGGCAGAAAAGTAGCATTAAAATTCTTGTGTATATTGCCAACATATGCTGTGATAAAGCATGTCTATGAGAAATAACACCCCTTTAAACTGCAGAAAGACAGCAGGAAACATTTAATCAGTATCTTTGTGTTTCTACTTATGGAGGTTTCTGACCTCAGGGACCCTAAGTAGGAGAACTAAGCTTATTGAATGATGCATTTGTTCTATAAAATGGAATTCTCTGCAATATCAGACTACATGTTAAATTACCTTTTACAAATAAAAAATTTAAAACGGCTCCATTTCCTCATTGATTTGACACATCTTAGAGAATAAGATGCACATAAAATTAACCTCATTCTGAAAATGACAGAGTTTCTTCAGGGTTTCCTACAGAATGAGGATACAGGAGAGAACTTTGGGTTAATGTTTCAGATTTTAAAACCCTATAGGTTCTCTTAGGTGACACTTAAAAATTATGAAGGCAAATGTTTAGTGTGAGTTACTCACTGCACTAGTTATGGCTTTTCTTATTTTCTATCCAAGACAGGGATTAATATTCAAAAAGACAACAATGTCTACTGATAATTCCTTAACAATGAATCAATGTATAAAAAGTGAAACAGGTATTTTAAGTGTGCCAATGGGAGGGTGTGCTTGTTATTTCCAAGGAGATACTAGTGAAAAAATACCCAGGAATATGAAAGATGAGAATGTGTTAGGTGACAATGTCCATTTTCATCATGGCTTTCACTTTCTTACAAAGGAGCTTTGAACTTTTATTTGAGCATTTCACTTCAAACAACCGCTCATCACAATAAATCATGATGATCAGAAAATATGTTTTGCTTTCCTAAGTAACCAATCAGATGTGTCTTAGATATTCTCTAATGGATACTGATATTTAAAATACATACACTGAATAAGTGAACAAACAAATGAATGAAATTATTAAAGGTTAAATATCAGCATCTCTTTGTAGCATTATTACTTCAAGGTTAGCATGCAAAGCTTCCTGACTTCCTAGTGGTTCACTTTTGTCCTGTGTATAGCAGATTTTTCCCAAATAGATCTATATTCTAAAGTGAATATATATAATTAATAAAATGACATTTGAAATGGGTATAGGTCTTAAGTAGGCCTTAAAGAACTGAAGAATTCTTTACAGTGATCATTTCTTTCTCTCCACAGTGATTAATATAAAATTTTATGGCAAGATATATAAGGTAATTTTACTAAAAGAAGGAATCTCTAAATATTGGGAGATTAGTAATGTGAGATATTGATAAAGAATTCTTGAATATGATAGCATCTTCATTTGTTTTGAAAGAATAACATATATGTAGTATGCTTTAAGATAAAATATAATTAGCATCAACTGAAATTTCATGCCAATTGTTAAGGACCTTGAGGCTGATGTCGAAGTCGGTGTTCTGAGGTAAGATCAGGCTTGTTCATCATGTTTCTCATTGTGTGGGTCATAATAATTAATGTAATGGTGAAAACAGTTCATTTTCTTCGAGTGAGCAGTCTCCCATCCTCTCTAAGCTACCAACTTTATTATCTCAATCAGTGCTAGAAAGTTTTACCATTTTTCTTATTAGAGGACTTCTATACCAAAAATTTCAAATCCAATGTAAATTTCATAAGAAATAAGTAAATATTTGTTTGAAATGTTCAGCAATTATAGAATAAAACCAGTTTGGGAAACTTAACTCCAGATGACAGGTGAATAATATTTGATGATGTCTTCAGATTTAAGATCTGTGGAATGTTCACTCTGTGTCAGAAATGACTTGCAAGGGTTTCTGGAAAGCTCTGTCTGCACTAGAGGGTGCACAATGCTCACGGAGTTATGGACTGTGGTGGCTGTCTTTTCCATGGGAGAAACACGCAGCAGAAGCTACGTGTCCAAATTGTGCAGTTGGAAAGCTGTGGACACAGAAACTTACACAGGCTGACAGAGCAGAGCACCTGCCCGACATCCAGGAAGATGGCCTCGCCTTTATAGGGCAGTATGAATCTTGACAAGAGACAGGGGGCTTATTATTCCAATCACCCATTTCCTAAGATTTTACAGCCACAAAATTCAAATTATAGATGTCGTACTTTGAAACAGCCCTTATCTTTACCAGCGTCTACCCTCCAGACGGAATAACTAGAGGGTCAGACCAGACACTAAAACCTAAGCTTTTGTTTAGCTTTCTCTGGTAAGAGTATAGAAAAAAAAATAGGAAGTTTTTAAGGTACTTGTGAAGCCAAGGGTGTAGCTTACTGATAGAGCATTAGCATGGGGAAGCCCTAGGCTGGACCTCCAGTATCACAGAAAAAACAGAGAAAATGTTTAATATATTTATGGAAACTCGCACATCTTAAAAAGTGTAGAATCTCAAGCATACATTGCCAGTGTTTGGCGTACTTGTATAGATAATCATTATAGCAAAAACAGTAGACAACAGTAGGCAAAGTTCCCAATTTATCGCTCTCCATCTTCTGCCCTAAGCAACCTATGGCACTGCGACATCATCCCTTCCGAAGATGAACGTGAAGCCTCACAGTAACATCCTCCATACACATAAGCACACCTAGTGCGATGAAGGCTGCGTTTTCACCTGAGCATTTAATTTCCCATCTTTGTTTTTGAGGTTCGCTATTTGTTAGCCACCGGCTACACACATTTCCTCACATACCAGAGATACCCAGTCTCACAGGCCACCCAAAGCAACAGCTGTAGCTTCAGTGTGGGACCTGATCATCCTCAGACCCACTTGAGCCGTGACGAAGGAAAGCACACATGAACAACGTGTGACGCGTGTTCTCCCTGATTGTCTCTCACATCATCCTCTTTCTGTGAAACATTATCACATGGTTCTGTGAGCACTGGTCTCTCAAGATAGTTCTTATTATATAAACAAAGGGAATAAATGCTTGACAAAGATGAAAAGGGAAATAAACGAACAAGCAAACGAAAACCCTTTGGACCTGACGTTATGGAAAAAAATAAACATAAAGACACTAAGATGAAAACAAAATAGTGTCATGGTTTACGTGTGGGATTTGGATGGAATCTAGGGCTGTGTTTCAATTCAAAACTCACCATCTCCAAACCACTCCTTTTCATCCGCCTGCAGGACTTGAGGTAAGTACGGATACGCTTTCTGGCACGCTCTTGGTACTCAGGGAATTGTCGCCTGCATGAGTCAATGATAGCCTGGATCTTTTCTTTGGGCTGCTTAGAGATTGGGACCATTCGGTCCAAGTTTTCATCTACAAACAGCCTGACAAACATCTGTTGGCAAGAGGGAGACAGAGGAGAAGGGTTTGGAGGGCTGCTCTCTTCTGTTCCTAGCTTCCTGTCTTGATTACCGAGAGGAAAATACTGCGTCCTCTGGTTTATGCACTGGAGAATTTTGCAAATGGAAAGCCAGAAAATTTAAGCAAACACTCTTTTAAAGATTTTTCTAAATGGCTGGATTAAAAAAAATAGAGAAAGGGAGAGAGGGAGAGAGAGGAAAGCAGACAGACAGACAGACAGACAGGAAAGAATAAACCATCATGTAGAAACAAAATCAGGAAATAACAGTAGACCAGGACAGTTGAGCACCCATTGCATTCACTATTGATAAACAGGACTGAGACATGGCCACACTGCACAGTGGACGAATCTCTGAGGCAAACACTTGATTCTTTTGTCATGCATAATTAGGAAAGCAAAGGAAATGACTGATGACAGACAGGCATAACCATCCACGGAATAAGCTGAGCCTCTTCCACATAGGCCGACATGCATACTCACACAACACAACCCATTTGGCCTGAAAATTCTAAACAAAGCACAGCAATTCTGGTGTCTGCTTGTCAAGACTGTTGTATGTACTTTAAAAATCCTTCTGTAAATTAAACAAACATGTCTCTAAAATACTCGCATTGACCAACAAGCAACAACACGAAGATGAAGTGGTCAGAATGTAGCCACACAGGGAGTGTGGGGACTCACATTGAAAGCTTTCAGCCGCTCGGCTTCCACGCCTTCTGCCTCGTTGAGCTTCTCGGAGTCATCACGCTCATCGTGATCATCTTCATCCTCGTCTCCCCTGTTGAGTGACAGGTCCTCTGCACCCCGGTCTACACTCTCATTCTTAGCAGAGTCATAGCTGGAATAACTGTGCGCGGGAGACTGGAAGAGAAAGGGTGACAGTTCTTAGCTCAACCTTTGCCCACATCATCAATTTCAAGCTTTATTTTCCTTTCCAATGCTTTCTCAAAAATTGTGTTTATGAGTTGGTAACTCTAGCTCTGCGGCAATTTTAATTTTAATCAAAATTCAAAGAGATTTAAGAATTCATTTCCTCAATCACACCAGTAACATTTCAAGTGCTCAGTAGTTGCATGGGTAGCACCATCTGTGTAGAAATGTTTTACTGAACTTAGCTCCTCAGGAGTAATCACTGTTTCCACTCAATATTTATATTAAAAAAGAAGCAATCTGTAATTAATTTGACAGGAGAATTATTGAATCACATAGTTTTAGAAATAGATTTGACCTCAGAGCTTAGCCCATCTGATTGTACCAATCTCCTTTAAACAGTTTGGAAACTGAAGAACAGGGGTGCTTAATTAATATGCCAGCAAAGACTATACAAAATATTACTGAGAATAGGGATATTAATTATGATACTTTAGATTTGTGAGTTATCTAAGAGAACATCTTAAGATAGCATCTGAACTGAATATAGAGAAAAATAGTGAGGTTTCTTCCTAATTGTTAAGATCACTGCTTCTGTATCCCAAAGTTTTATTGAGGGCATGGCAAATTTAAAGCAAGAGTGGCCAGGTAAATATAGCAATATTTCAATGTAACTAAGCATCTGAAAAATTTAAATATGTAAAAATTCATATTCATATATGACGAAGCCGGCCTTACTGGCTTATTACAGCACATTGAGCCCTTCAATATTAAGTAAACTGTTTTGATTATTTTTCATATAGAGATATTTAATTTTCATATATCATGAAATATTTCTTTTAGGATCTTTTAGGCTAATTCTAGGGTTAGTCTGGGGAGAAATGACCTGAAAAGAAAGAAAAATCCAAGCGTATGGTATGATGAGAAGCTTAATTCAGCAGTAAGTAGCCTAATAATGGACCATTTTATATAGTCCCTTTGATACCAGAAATTATCAAACAGCTATTCAGACACTAAGCAAGACAGCAGAGTTCCAAGGGCAACCATCCTGTAGTTGTTTTCAGTATCGACACAAAGCTTTTATGAGATATCAAATGCCGTAAACAAATACTGAAATCATTGAGCAAGAGACGTCTACTGGCTCCCTTGGTTTTCATAGCTACACAATCATCTGCAGGTAAAGAAACACTTTCCAAAAGGTTAAATAACCTCTTCTCATCAAGATAATGATGTAGCTCGTGTTTGAACTCAGCTCTATCTGAAGCAAGAAGCGATGGACTCAGTTTCACCTGGCTACAATTTCTCTCTCCCCCGTCTCTCTGTCTCTCTGTCTCTGTCTGTCTCTCTCTTTCTCTCTCTCTCTCTCCCTATATATATGAATGAAGAACAGAGCATATTTTGGGTTTATGAACTGTACATGTTAGCATTTAAATAGCAAAAGGAGCCCTTCCAGAGCTGCTCCTCCACTTAAAGAAACTATTTTTTCTTTTACACTAGTTGCCTGTAATTTATATATCTTTAGTAAGAAGCATTATTATTTTTTATAAAATTTATTCATATAAGACATTTAAATAATTTGTTACAGCTGCATCCATGTTTATTTGTTTCCATTGGATATAGGAAATATAAAGTATTATGGTCACACAAAGATAAGTAGGTTTTCTACCTAAGGAGTAAGTAGAGAAGGAAATTGTGGCAAGGGCTGATTTTCAGTTTTAGAAATGACTGTAATTTGTAATGAAATACCTTTTAAGAATAAACTCAATGAGAAAATTTTAAGAATAATATGAAAACAACAGAAAACTTGTTTCAGTTGTCCGAATACCTCAATGAATAATTTCTTTCCTCAGGAAGCCTTTATTGAGCATCGTTATATGTTTGCTTTTAAGTAGAGCAATATCTACTTAGTAATCCTTTACTGAGCATTGCTTTTGTTCTATGCCTTACAGATAGAACTTAAATGAATCATATGTAAACTGCTTAAGTAACTTTCTCAAAGTCACATAAGTAGCAAATGAAGCCAGGTTTATTTTATTTTATTTTATTTATTAGTTTTCATTTTATGTGTATGAGTATATTGCCTGCATGTATGAAAGTGCAACTGTGTCATGCAATGCCGTGGAGGTCAGAAGAAAGCATCCGATTCTTCTGGTACTGGAGTTACAGACAGTTGTTAGCTGCCATGTGGGTGCTGGGAATTAAACCTAGGTCCTCTTCAAGACCAATCAGTGCTCTTAACCATTGAGTCATCTCTCCAGTCCATGAAGATAGGTTTTGAACCCAGGCAGTTTGTTTGTGAATTGATTACCTTAACTATAGTCTTTCCTGTTTATGAAAAGGCCATCAACTGTGACAATGTTGGTGGAAGCCAACTCCTAAGGCTCTGAGTTTCTTAACATCAGCTTCTAAAAGAAAATCTTTTAGGTGAGAAAGTAACATCACCCCATTGTCATTAATAGTTTGGTTTTCAGATATTAAGTGAACATACCCTCAGCAAATCTGAGAGATGACGTGTTTTGTATGAGTTGGAGTTATTTAATGTTCTTTTTTCAAGTAATGTGTGAGATTTACATGGAGCTTTAATATCCACTTGGCTGACTCTCCTAAGAGAACTAGTATTAGAGATTTATATATGGATATTATAAATGACTGAACAGGGGCCAGCAGGATGGCTTGGAAGAAAAATGTGCCTGCTGCCAAGTTTGACTCCCTGAGCTTGATCCCAGGACCCACAGGGTAGAAGAAGAAAAGCACCTTGGCAAGTGGAACCCCAACATCCACACATACACACCATGGCACATGCATGCACAACACACACACACACACACACACACATACACTCACACTCACACACAGAGGGGGGGATATACATACAATAAATGTAAGTAAAAATTTTAAAACTGAAAATTAAAACAAAAAATGACTGAGTCCATAATGATGGTAGTAATGATATTATATGATTCCAATATGTCTGAAGCTAAATGTCATGTGTCAGCTGGGTTGTAAGTTACATGGATATTTGATCAAACATGATGCCTAGGTGTGTCTGTGAAGAGGCTTGTGGGTGAGATTAGCATTTAAATTGGTACACTCCATAGAACAGATTTCCCTCCCCAAAGTGCTTGGATGTCATCCAGTGAGAATGGACAATCAGGGAGAAGAGGGAGGAAATGCCACACATTGTGACTGACAGCTGGAGATAAAATGACATTCACACCATAGCTTTTCTGGTCCTCAGTCCTTAAGGCTCAGACTGAACACTACCAACTGGATTTCCTAGGTATTTGGCTTTCAGATGAAAGAACATGGTACCCCCTCAGTCCCCATAATGTATTCACTCATCTCTCTGTCTATTGATCTATCTCTCATCTATCTGTTATCTGTCTGTCTGTCTTTTGATCTACACATCATTTGTCTATCTATCTATCTATCTATCTATCTATCTATCTATCTATCTATCATCTATCTATCTATCATCTATCTATCTGTCTGTCTGTCTATCATCTATCTATCTATCTATCTATTTCTATCTCATCTATCATCTATCTATCTAATCATATATCTATCATTTATCATCTATCTCTTTATCTATCATCTATCTACCCTACCTATCTAATCATCTATCTACCTTTCTATTATCTATCTATCTATCTATCTATCTATCTATCTAGCAATCATCTATCTATCTATCTAATCATCTATCATCTATCTACCTATCATCTCTATCTCTCTATCATCTATCTATCTATCAATCATCTATCTATCTTCTATCTATCTATCATCTATCTATCTATCTATTATCTATCATCTATTTATAATTATCTATCATCTATCTATCTATCTAGCAATCATCTATCTATCTATCTATCTAATCATCTATCATCTATCTACCTATCATCTCTATCTCTCTATCATCTATCTATCTATCAATCATCTATCTATCTTCTATCTATCATCTATCTATCTATTATCTATCATCTATTTATCTATCAATTATCTATCTATCTATCTATCTATCTATCTATCTATCTATCATCTATCTATATATTATCTATCTAACTCTCCCTAATCTTACTGATCTCATTTCTCTGGAGTACTATGACTAATGCAATTGTTATCCACATTATTAACAGTTCAGTTAAGGTTCAGCAAATATAGATACTGTGGAAATGTAGAAAGTTGTTAAATACAGACATGCAGACATTTGTAGTACTACTGCAACTTCAGAGCTAGGGGCCAGGGAGTTGGCAGAGTGGAGGGATGAGTCATGAAACCAGAATGAGAAACGTGCATGCAAATGAGCCTGTATGCCAGTCAAGGCATCATAGATCAAGCTCTCCGGTGTCCAAGATTCACCATAAGCTTTACCGTGATATCTCCGACATGCTTCTCAGCCAACACCTTTGACTTTTAGAAAGAGGCTCTGTTCCACTGGATGAAACTGCCAATCCTACAGGTCCCAACCGCCTTTGGAAGACATGAACTTTCAACTTTGTATCTAGACAAAGAAAGCTCATCTGAGACTGAAACTAAGAAGAATCCAACAGATCTGCACAGCCCCGAAAGAGTACTAAAGATTACTTGTAATATTTGTGCATCAAGATCCAACTGTCACTCAAATGAAGCCCCAGACCTATCAGCTGTATGACATCATACATCCTCTACCCATCCTGTCCCCTCTTTATATCTGGATTAAATTTGACATTTAGTGTTACAGAAATCAATAAGTGCAGATTAATAATACAGATATCATGCATCACACTTGATAGCTCAAACACAAATGGCCCCAGCTAGGAAGATAACAGCATCCCAGTAAATAGGAATAGATATTCTCATCTGTTAACAAAGTAAAATGATTTTGAATGACCTTTATAATAGGAAATTTTAAATGATCAGTGTTCTTTTGAATGCCTTTGTCAGTTATGAGCTGAGCGTATGTGCTGGATAGCTTCAGTTGTAAAACTGAACCTCAATTGGGGTGTTTCCTCTCC